CAGCCATTGATTATTCGTTGCTTTTGTCACCACCTATGAAGTTAAATTATCACAAAGTGCAGTTTTTTTTTTCTGCAGCATGGGAACTTGTTAACGAAATATGTCGGCGTGAATCAACCATCCGCGTCGGCTCTCACATTTTTGATGTATATATTTGACATATACAGTAGGTATGAGTATCGAATATAGGAGCTATTTTTTTATTGACAAATATCTTCGTCGAAAGCTAATTTATATTATCCTGGCTTGTTTGCGTGGAAACATTTCCGCAACATTGATACATGTAGGCAACAATGAAGGATGCTACGAGTTAAATCACATGGTACTATTTGCAACCTCACAATCGAGATAGTTCTATGTAGTATACGGTGTCATAATGTGATGTGCTTTTGGGGTGACTTGTCAAACATCTTTAGAAGGCATTAAATGTGGGACTAACAACTTATTTATAACGATTGTTCGGAAATCTTGTAAGAAATTTTTAGGATTCCTAGCTGTTATTCTTTTTGCATTTAAGCCGAGTCTAATAACGTTATATATAGTGCATATCGCAGACGTTACATGTGTAATATTCTGTCAAACGACCCAAAATTCAATTTTGAGCGACCAACTCTGAGTTGTTTTTTGCCCAAATAAACGTAGCCATCAAAGCTTATACTATTTAGATAGGCTTCGGTTGTGGTTGCTATAGAACCACATCCCGTTCGACACCTTAGTTTTCAAAGTTATAAGTGTTCAAAAAGTAAAAACACTTGGTCAAAGATCTTCTTTTCTCTTTTTAATATACTAGCGCCTTTTGCATGGAGATAGTTAAAAGAGGACAGTGTGCCTGAAAACAGCACTTTTGATTATTTTATAAGCATTTCTCATAAAACATGCTCAAATCCTGTGTCTTTACATACAAGGTATCTATGGCAAGGACAAGGTAATTAGAGACAGTTGTAACCCAAATAATGATATCACTTGTAAGGTTTGATGCTTTGTGGCAAATCATAGAAAGAGAACACCCGCATGCCGTTGTGAATATAGCAAAGAGATGTTACTTATAACAAGCTGCATTCATGCTATGCTCTTAATGCGCTAGTGTTGAAAGAGCTTGTGAATATATGTCAACAAAGCGAAGCTATAAGAATATCTAAAAATTAAATTTTGACTTTCGACAACATAACTTATAATGAGACTTAGCTCTAAGTTTTTCAGTTGCTGAATAAGCTAGTTTGTATGCGGAAAAGGCCGTTACTACAATACGGTATTGCTCATAAC